GATTATAACTGTTTTCATAAGGATGGCGGAACGGTAGACTTAACGATAATTTGTCAATATCTATAGTTAAATATACAACCGGAGATGCTCTTCCTTTCACACACACACACATACACACACACACACACACACACACACACACACACACACACACACGCACACACACACCCTGTGGGTCTATCATGAGCGGCCAGCGGCGTGAGTGAGCGACGATGATGCCGTTGTCGACCGAGAAGGCGTCGACGGGGAGGCCGGCCAGCTGCCACGTCCTGCTCTGCACGGCGTCCCCCAGGGTGTCATACAGGCAGAACTTGGCACTGCAGGAGATCCCGAGTTCCTGACATTTGCGGTGCCACTTGTCTAGGCATTCCTGCGGGAGTGAAATTAAGTCATATATGTGTTTCAATTAGTGCAAAAGAATTGCTAAGGAGATACCACTCTATGGGAATATAATGACAAGGTTGAACAAGGCAGGTTGAGGTCGAGTGATACGTATCTCTGACGTACAGATTCTACAGGTCGTCTCCTCCCCCTAAGTTCTGGAAACAAATCACTTGTGGCACCAAATGGAATCGAACGCCCGAAAACTAAATCAGCAGTCAGACACTTTAACCCACTGAGCATAACAACAGGAATAACATCACTAGGTAAGTATCACTCTACAGGAGAGGGACTTAGATCGGTGAGCCATTTATCTCTCTCCAGATTTAACTCCGCAAGTGTTGAAGAGGGTCGACTGAGCACTCACCTCCCTGTAATCGACGGTGAATACCCCCAGGTAGGACACGACGGCGGCGGCAATCAGCACGTCGCCAACAACATTCTCCAAACTCTCACTCAGCTGTTGGGCGGCGTCGCTCCACCTACGGGAAGACAGCGCCTTAGCTCGGAGATGCGTGACGTACTAATAACTGTACAGTCATTCCAGCCAGGTAAAGGTGCTTGAACTAAACTCTGTCTAAACAAAAACTGGCTATTTCATTTGATAAAAGCCTCTCTTTCCTCATAATCTCCTTATCATCCCCAGCCTCATAATTCCTCATAATCTCCGCCTCTCTTTCCCCATGACACCCATCCTCATAATCTCCCCCTCCCTTCCTCACAACCCCCATCCTCTCGTTCCCCATCACCCCCTCCTTCGCGCTCACCTGTCTCGCTCTCCTCCGAGGCCGCCGATGAGCCTCTCGGACCGGTCTCGCTTCTGCTCGCACCTGACGATGGAGTCTTCGAGGTCCTTCTTCTCCTTCTGCTTCTTGGTGAATTCGTCGTTGAGGGCCTGGAGCTTGTCTGTGACCTGGGGGGGGTGGGAGTTAAGGGGGGTTAATACTGATGGTCGTTGACGGTCAGGATAGATCTTGGTGTCTGTGATGGTGGTGTTAGGGGTGGTGATGATAGATAGTGGTATTTCTGGTGGTGTTGCAGTTAGTGTTTCCGATGGCGTTGGGGATAAATGATGGTATTCATGATGGTGATGTTGGAGGCGATGATAAATAAATGAATCACACTCCTCTTTATCTCTCACTTACTCCCTCTTTTCGTTGACTGATTATTACAAGTCATCCTCCTCCCCTTCGCACTCTTTCTTTCCTATTCTATTCCCTTATTCCTCGTCCATCTTCTTATCACGCTCTCTTTCTCCTTTTCTGCCAATCAGTTACAATTCCTTACAGTTCTCTGCTGTTTTTTCTCCATTAGACTATTCCAAATCCTCGCCTCCTCATTCTTTCCTCTGTCAACTTCCTCCTTTTTTCCAGTCAAGTGTTAATCTTAACTACATTATTCTCCCCCCCCCCCCCATTTGGCTATTACTTTCATATTCATCCTCCTTATATACCCTCGTCTCAATCCTTTTACATTCTTCGTTTCCTTCCCCTTTTTCCCCATCTAGCATTCCAAATCCTTCCTTCCTGCAGTTCCTTAATCTTCTCCACCAATCCCTCCTCCCTCCCCTCTCCTCCCTCCTTACCTCCCTCAGTTCCTCCTCCCTCCCCTCCCTCCTTACCTCCTCAGTTCTTCCCTCTCCTCCACCAACCCTCCCTTCCCTCATTACCTCTCTCAGCTCCTTCCTCTTTCCCCCCTACTCCCCCCTCCTAAATTCTCCTTTCTCCATCTCTCCCTCAGGTCCCCTTCCTCCTCCTTCCCTCGCCCAGTTCCTCCTAATCCCTCCCCTCCCCATCCTCCTTCCCTTACCCGATTCCCCCTAATCCCTCCCCTCCCCATCCTCCTCCCTCCTTTCCTCGCCCAGTCCCTCCCCTCCCCCCTCCTCCCTCCTCCTTCCCCTCCCCTCCCTCCTTCCCCTTCCCCCTCCTCTCCTCGCCCAGTCCCTCCCCTCCCCCTTCTCCTTCCCCTCCCCCCCTCTTCCCCTTCCCCCTCCTTTCCTCGCCCAGTTCCTCCAAATCCCTCCCTTCCCCATCCTCCTTCCCCTCCCCCTCCTCCCTCCCCTTCCCCCTCCTTACCTCCCTCAGCTCCTTCCTCTTCTCCTCCAGCTTCTCGTTCTGCA